GCAAGTTTACTTAAGAGCACTTGCTTGGTTTACTTAATAAAATTTTGAAGAAATTTGGTTTTGTTGTAAAAATTTTTGAGAAAATTTGGTACAAAAGATCTACAGATTAAGTACGCTCTTCTAAATTAATTTATTTTTTTTAAAATATTGTTTAATAATACAAATTGTTTATTAATTTTCTTCATCTTGCATTAGTATTTTACTAGATAATACATCATCTAAAAGTTTACGTTGTTAAAGATTTCTCTTAAAAATCTGGTTTTCTTTCTTCAGAATTGATATATCATATTCAAGATTTCTGATTCTTGTTTTATGACTGTATATTATAGAGTTTAATCTTTTGATTTCATCACTAAATTTTGAAGGTTTAAATTGATTGCAAATCAATTTGTTCTCTAAACAATAAATGCAGCTATCTGGAAATTCTTTTGAAGATTTATATTTGATTCTTTTCTGCTTGCAGGTTAGACATCTGGTGTGTTTGCAAAAGATCTTTTTTTCTTTTTTTAATCGTCCTATTTATAACAAAATCAATAAGAAATTTAATAAATTCTTATTTTACTTTTAAGTTTACAAAAAATAAATTTAATTATTTACGATTTTTAGAAATATTGAGTTATTTTTATATTTATAGATTTATATTAATCATGAAAAAAATAACAAGATCGATTTAATACAAAATATTCTTTGATTTGTTATAAAGTTTAGTTTAATTTCAATAATCAATCGTAACAGATTTTTGATTTGTTTAAAAATATTCTAGAATTTTTTATTAATTAATCGTATATGATTTTAGAATTTTTTCAAAACTAAATTTTAACTAATTAAAATTTGATACGTTATCAAAAATAATCTTTAAAATTCAATCGATATTTACTAAAAATCTTTACTATATAAAGATTTTAAAATTAATTTTTGTTTTATTAAACTTTTATGAAAAATAATTTTTAAATACGAGATTTTTTATTATTACTAAAAAAATTTAATACAAAAATTATTAAAAATAGTTTTGAAATTTGTTAAATTAAATATAGTTAATTTTAAATTTTGATTAAATTTTAGATCATAAAATTTATTTATTTTAATATTTAATTATAAAAAATAATAACAAATATAAAAATATGAATAAAATTTATTCATTATAAACTAAATTATTATATTTAGTATTAAGCTTAAAATATTTATCCCTATATTCTTCTAATTCATTATTAAGATTCTTAATATTTTTGTATAATGTTAAATTAGACTTCTATCCTTTAATAATCAGATTTAACCTTTTGATATCAATTTTATTTTGATTCTTGCTCAGATTATCTAGTTTAGTTTTCTTAATAATTTTGTTTAAGCTTGGTTTGATTTTTGTTTTTGTTTCATTAAGTTTCTTGCGAACTTGGATCAGAGAACTTTGAAGATTATGATTTTGTTCGATTATAGAATCAATATTATCAATAATGTTAGACATATTTCTATCTTGTAAATAAATAATAAAAAAAATAATAAAATAGTTAGTAACTCAAATATTTAAACAATAAATATTTAAAAAAACAAAATAAAAATCATAAAGTCTAAAGTGAAGAAAGAAGTCAGCAAAAGAAAAAACTAGTTAAAACTGATTGAGAACTAAGTTGATAACAGCGGTTGAGAAGATTTTAATGAGAGACTTGAGAATATGTTAACAGAAATAGTTGAGTTTGGGTACTAAAGACTTAGCTAGTATTGTTTCTAATCATGTTTTTTTTTAAAAAAAGTATACGTAAAGAAAGAAATATTAACCTTTGATAATAATTTTTCGTTTGTGAAGAAAAAAAAAGATCATCTTTTTTTTTGTAATTTATAATAATTAAACACGTAAACAAACTTAATTTACATGATTTTACATGCAGACAACAATGATAAACAATATGAATTTGTTAACAAAAAAAATCTTTATTTAGATGTGATTATTAAATTTGTGACGTTTCAAAAAATTTTGTAAAATGATTTACAGAATTTTTTTAGAAAAAATTTATGAAACGTCACAATATTTACTATATAAAAAAATATTTGTTTTTAAATAATTATATATCACATGATTAAATAAATTTTATTACGTAGAAAAAAATAATATAATTTATATAAATTAACCTAGATTTATTTTTATAACAAATAAAAAATATCTAAAATTCTATTAAAACCTTTAAATAAAATTCTATTTGATGAAAATGAATGTGTTAAATTTCTATTTGATAAAAATATAATTAAAAAACTAAGATGTCAAAATTGTAATATCGAAATGAACAAGTATCAATTAAAATTATACAGAGGTAAAAATTGTGAAAAAACTTTAAGTATCTACAAGAATACTATTTTTGACAATAGTAAAATCAAAAGTTGTGATATTTTGTTAATATTATATTTTTGGTTAAACAAGATTAATTATTCTTCGATCAGTTATATGGTACCATATTCAAGTGCAACTATAGAGAAATATATTAGTATTTTTAGAGAATTAGCAATTAATAGTCTGCAATAAGAAGATCTTGTTATTGGAGGTAATCAAATCATATATAAATTAGATGAATCAAAATTTAATAATCTATAGTTAATTAGCGGTGTAGAGAGATCAGTTAAAAGGAAATACTTCTTTGTTATTGCAAAAGATAGAAATGCAAGTACAATTAGACATATTGTAAAACAATATGTAAAATCTAAAAGTATTGTTTTTACAGATTGTTGGTGAGGTTATCAGTTACAAGGATTAGATATTATTCATAGACATGTTAATCATTCGAGAGGTCAAGGAGAAACTTTTAGCATTCATACTAATACAATTGAAAGAAGCTGAAATGGACTCAAAATTTTTATATCAAAGAGAAATAGAAAGGAACATCTTATAGAAAAATATTTACAAGAATTCATATATAGACGTAAACATAATGATAATTTATAGAATGATTTCTTAGATTTATTAAAATAAAAATAATAATATAAATATAATTTATTTAATATATAAGATACAAATTAATATAATAACTATTTATACTGTTTTAAATAAACTTTTCATACATTTGAATTCTAGATTATTTCTATTTTTTCTATCAAACTCTTGATATATTTCTTCATCTGCTATATCTAATTCCATTTCTTCTTGCATCTCTTCATTAGTTATAATATCTTGTTCTATATTATTTTTATTTAATTCCTCATGATTACTTTAAATTATTGCTTGTTCAATATCAATTTCTAATTTCTCATTATTACTTTGAATTGCTGCTTGTTCAATATCAATTTCTAAATTATCTACTGCTTTAAATTTTCCTTTTTTCATTGTACGAGTATAATCAGAATCAGTAGAATAAATATCAGAATCATAATTATATTCTAAATCTGCATTATTTTCAGAATCTTGTTTTTTTAATTTTTCTGTTTCAAAATTACTACTATCTAATATTTCTATATATTTTCTCTTAGATGAAGATTCGATTTGAATATTATTAGATTGTAAAATTTCTGTAGTTTCATCTTTTCATAATCGTTAAAAGAGAATATTTCTTTCTTTTCTTTCATGTTTGTTTTTTAGTTTTTGAATAATTTCAGAAAATTCAATAACTAAGAATGGAATTCCATGTTCATGACCTAGAGGGTTTTCTTTCAATCTTCTTCTTGCTCTATCTGCAACATAAACTCTATTATTAGGAATATATAAATCAGGATAATATAATTTAATAGGTCCTAGGATATATTTGCTCTTATCAACTAAATATTATCACAATAATAAAGAATATTATCTAATTTTTCTATTGTTCTATATCTTCCTTTAACAATCTCTTTTGCTTTTTCTAATGTAATATTATAATTAAATTCAATTTCAAATTTAAATTTAAAAAAATCTTCAATATCACCCTTATAAAAAATCATACGAATTCGATAACAAAAACATTCATTTTCACATAGTTTTCTATCATCATCTCTAAATTTTTTAAATTCGATAATATAATCATATCGATTTACGAATACACTAAATAATTTAGTTATTATAATTTTGTTCTGATTTAGGTTTTAAATGTTCATCTTTACAAAAGTTATATATGAATCGAATACTTGTATTAGCAGTATATGCAATTACAAAAGGGCAAAAATTAATATCAGAACCTTTGATCTGAACAGAATATTCCTTACAATCTAAAAGATTCAACGTTTCTAAATATTTTTCTTGACCTTTGAATTCATTTACCAAAACTTCTTTATATGAACTTGTAAAACTTTGCCAAAATCTTCCACTATTGTTTCTTCTTTTATATGCATTTGGAAACAATACAGATAATAAATATCCTTTTCCTACACGACTATTGTCTGAATATAAGAACATATTATAAGGTTTCCAATATCGTTTCATCTTTTTTCTTTCTAAACTTTTTACTGCTTTTCTAATTGCTGTAATATTTGCTAGACCATTAATAATAGCCCATTTCAATTGATCTTTTGCATTATTAATAATTACTTCATCATCAGATAATTTTTCATCTATTAAATCATTCATTATTTCAATTGCTGATAATTCTTTATCTAATTTTGTATATTAATTTGTACTAGATTTATTATTGTATTTTGATTCTTTTGATTCAATTAAATATTCAAATGGTCCTGAATCTTCATTATATCTAGCCAATATTCTTTGAGAAATACATTTTTTATTATACCAAATACAGATACAATTCAAATCTTCATAATTTCATCGACAATTTGTAACTAATATTTTTTTCTTTTTTTCTAGATTAGTTAGATCAATAATTGTCAATGTACTTCCTTTTTCTTTTCTTCTTGGATCATCCAAATCAACTAATTGTTGATTATGAATCTTGCATTTATTGTAAGTTTTCTTACAATAAATAATAGAATCTTTCATACTACTAACATCATCAAAATGTATTTTTTCAATAATATTTTCTACTTGTAATATTTTTTTAATACTAGAATCTTCTTTTTTTCCAATACGATTTTGCTTTTTTAGCTTAAAAAATCCTTGTATATATATATCTCGTTCATTATCTTTTGCTTCATAACTTTTTTCATATTGATAAATAAAATGAGTAAATGGACAAGTTTCTGTATTAGAAAAGAAATTTTTAATTAAATGATTAAATTTATCATAGTTAAAATAATAGAAATTGAAGTTTAACATCAAATATTTTTTCTGTAAATCAATAGGCATCTTTAGATTTTTAATTTTAAAATTTGGTATTTTTTTTTTTTAGTTTTTTTTTTTTTAAATTTCGGCAGTCATGCCATAACTTTATTTAGATTTGTTTTCCATTTGAAAACAACATTATCT